TGGAAGTGGTCGAATATGATATACAGTGGGGTCATGGTAGGTTGAAGTTAACTGTCGTATGAGTATACGTTGCATAGGATGCACCACATGGAGGTAAGTCTATCGCACATCCCGCATACAAGTAATAAAGATGCAGGGATAAGAAAAGTGACCATCTTCCTGCGATGTACAGAATCCTCCCACTCAGATACAAAAAAGTTGTAAAGGGTGTCATCTCGATGTGCCTGCATCCCTTCGATTCACTCAGTATGCTGGAGTGAATACTTCTCATCGCGATAGCGAGCTTTCACTGGCAACATCAAGTTCGAAATAAGCTAAAGTGTACAGTAAAAAAGACGGAGTAAGTTGATGAGTGGAATCATTCATATGGATATCAATTGTAACTTCAGTTAAATAGAGTCTTTCCAAAATCTTTAACCATCAGTTTCTATTCCCCTCAGTAGCGGCTTAATTAAGAACCATGCATCTCGCCGTCAGTACAGATTAAATTTCTCCGTTTCATCGATGCGTTTTGGTATAAACGCGTATTCGCATTTGATTCTATTTTAATGAATATTTACTTCACAAATAGATATATTGCTTAGTCTACTCAGAATTGAGTTTGATTCGTTAAACCACTAAGCGCTTATAATTAATACTTTGTTGTTCTCATATCAGCTTCATCGGTTTCACAAAACAACATAAGTTCATTCAGTTAAGCTAACCCTGCACTAGTTTGACAAGGCAATGCACTAACTAGAGTTGTGGATATACGGCATGAGATGATCTTTGGTCATTAGGGTTGTAGCCTTTAACTTCTTCTTTCTCATCTGCTGAGAACACATGTCACTGGGGCCTTCCTAAAACCCCGTGAAACGACTTGCATTGAACTTGTTGCCATTGATAGGTAACATTTCAGCCAACCTTGCCTTTTATAAGGCTTAAAGCGGCTGAAAACATATCACTGGAAGTCTTTATTAATCGTTGATCATATGGGAAATCTGATCCCATTGATAGTACTGGGGTCTGGATTTGTTCGTTGACATTCACTTCATACTTCATTGTTTTCGATGTAATTCCTTAAGTGTGTGACTTCAAGCATTTAACTACTGCAGAACGATCGGGTAAGAGAATTCCCTGACTTCCTTATCGATGTTTTTGTGTAATTTTCTTTTCATTTTGGTTTGGTATCTGAGAACTTTCAAGAGGCCTTAGAGAGCTTCATTTCTTGAAGTTTTACAAAGAGATATATCAAAGGGCTCCTCTGAGTATGTTATTCAAAATCAGTTATTGCATAACTCTAAGGTTAATTTTAAGACTGTCGGAAGGCCGTGATGATCTCGATAAGCCAAGAAGTTATTTTGAAAGAGTGGGTTTGTGCGATCGACTTACCTTCATGTGGTACACCCTGGGCAACGTATTCTCATATGACAGCATTGTATGTTATATTCCACCACTTCACAGTACTCACCTTATCTTTTCGCTGCCTTTGTGTCTGTCTGTCTATTTGTCTCTTTTACATCTTTGAATCACTCTTCTCCTTCCCCCTCTCCACTGTTTTCTCACCTTGATGTTCCTCCCCTTTGTGAAGCCCAAAGTCAGTTAAGGGGCTAATGGTATCTATCAAAACGCCTGCCATTTGAAATAAATAAATTTTGAAAGATTGAACACCTTGCTCTATTCTTGCCGTAAGTATATAGTGATTTGACATTTTCTATTATTGTAGGCTTGGTACGACGAAGTTTTAACCTGGGACCCTAAAGAGTACAATGATATAAAGCATGTTCGTATTCCAACAAAACACGTTTGGACTCCCGACATCGTTCTTCAAAACTAGTAAGTAAATTAAATGTAAAATTCTATCCTACTGAAATAATTCAAGTAACATATAATTAAAATTTCTTTTTAAGTGCTGATAAAAGATTGCAAGAACTGCGCGAAGTATTGCTCACTGTCGATTACACCGGTCGCATTATCTGGAGTCCACCAGCGATCTATAAGTCAGTGTGCACGATCCAAATGGAGCACTTTCCATTTGATCATCAAATCTGCTACCTCCGTTTTGCCTCCTGGACCCTGCATGGGAAGAAGCTCAACCTCACTTTTTTAGATGGAATTGAAAGTGCTTTGATGGACGCCTATCAACCAAGCAATGAATGGCATATTGTGGTCCATCCAGCAGTTCGACGTTTTTTTAAACAGACTTGCTGCGAGGAGCCGTTTCCAAACCTAATTTTCTTCTTTGTGTACTTACATAGTTCGAATAATACATTGATTTTAGTCTAAGACGTAACGCAGAGTACTATGCTTACTTACTGGTGCTACCTTGTATCTTACTAGCTGTGCTCAATTTAGTGGTGTTCTGGCTACCACCTCAAAATCCCGCAAGAATGATGCTAGGTAAAGTCATGTTTTAACAATCTCCCTCTTTAACTCTAGGCATGAACATTTTCTCGGGCTTTTGTATTCAACTGAAGTTTTTGACCCAGTCCACACCATCAGCGTCTAATACGATCCCATATCTTGGCAAGGATCTTAAAATTATCCATTCTTTGTTTAAATACGCTCGCTAATATGGCTAATTTGTCTTTCGCGTTTTATAGGCTATTACTACTGCCTCAACATGGTCCTGATAGCCATATTCACATTTTTCTCCGTTATTGCAGTTCAAATCCACTTTCGAAAGGATAAAACTAAACCACTTCCACCCTGGCTATCAAGAGTAAGCTCATCTTGTTGTGTTCTCTCCCATCTTAATAAAGGAAATAATTTTTTCATAATCTTTAGTTTGTGAAAACCTCCTCTAAATGGTTACGTCTTAAACCTGGACCACTGTGTTTCACCAAACCCCCTCAAGCTGAGGCCAACATCAGCAAAATTGAAATGCACCTGAATCAAGAGAGAAAACTCAGGCGTCGAGACTCCTTTGAATCTCATCCCGGACAGACACCCAGACATTGCTATTGCCAACAGCAACAGCCACAACCACAACAACAAATAAATCAAGAATCACAGCACGATGTGCAGGCCCTGACTCAAAGAGATCCTTTCTCAAACATCACCTCCACGACTGCGGGCAAACAGTTGGAGGCTAGTGTGAAGGAAATCAAACGTGCTTTGCGCAATTTGATGCATAAGGTGGGCCATTATTTTCGAAGTACGACCTTCTGGGAAGTGGCGAATTTACACACAAAAATGATTATTATTTTCTAGTTTTCAAAAGTACTTTTTGAAGAGTAATTTGATACTCATTGTAACTTAGTCGATATACGGAATACCATCTTATTAACCAATAACCGTGTTTGTTTGAATATTTTGCGCATTTTTTGACTCGTAAATCTAACAACTACTGTTATTACGCAAGTAATAATGATAATAATAACATCTTTATCATCTATGGAGGTGCACAATGATTTGTGACTTCTAGTCTTGTGAAAGCATTCGAACAAACAAATAATAAAAGATATGCGTCAAAAAATATTATTGAAAATATACCCCTTTGTCGTTCATGTTCCCTCAAACAACGTAGATTCTACCTCGAGTCCTAATGTTTACATTTCATAAAGTGTTTTTTATTTTCATTTGAGAGAATATTTCCACGATATTCAAAGCTTATTGACAAATTTCTTTGATTTTCTGCTCATTGAAGTGAGCCGCATGCTTCGGAAAAAGTCAACTCAAGGTTTACTTAAGTTCTTAAAAAAAATTATTTTTAGATAGGATTCGTGTTTAGGAAGGAAATAAATTGATTCCAAGCTGCTTACAATAGCTTATTGTAAGGCAAACTTTTTAGTTAATTTAAATGTTTTATATTCAGATCCTGCCTACTCATTCGACACTTGTAATTTGAAAAAAATGTGAAATTTCTCTCAAGATTTTTTTCATCTTGCAACATTTTAATACTGGGATTTTCCGAAAGTACGCCCATCTTCATAGGTGTGAAGCGGATTACTACGCTAGTAAAGCCTGCTGACTCAGAAATCTCTATGGCAGATTCTCCAACATCTAGCTAGACTCCCAGAACAAGCTAAGCTATAGCCCATCTATGAAGGAAACAGACGTGTAGCACGGAGCACGTTTATTCAGTACGAGTATTGCGGATCAAGTGTACACGTAGGGAGCTTAATCATGATCAGAATGGTGGATTAGGTTAAACAAACAGAGGTTAATGATTGGTCACTGTTTGTACGGTCGCACCTCCCAATCCTGGCGTGCAGGCATGCGATGACGTGTTAAGCTATGACGTGTCCCACAGGTGAAATATT